GCACCCCAGTTCTTGTATGCACAAATAAATCATTTTTAAAAAGGAAGTAGATGGGATCTTGCATACAGAAGTGCTTTGTAGTAGGTAGAGCATCCTGACATCTGCAGAGATGCTAATTAAAACATGCCAGTTTCTAAACCCAAGGAATTCACAGTCTGCCCGGAGAGAGAGAAGTGGTCATCTGAAGTAACGGGAATGTAGTCACAGAACAATCTACAGCTTAGCAGGGCAAGAATGTAGGAGCTATAGGATTTTATAGTATGGAGGGATTTTTATGTGGAAGTCAGTTTTTCCAGGCCTCATAAAATGTAAGTATTTTGACTGGGCGATGGAGGGCGAACAGCAGCAGCACCCAGCTGCCAGGCTGCCACCAGATGACAAACCACAGGGCAGCGCAAGTCAGAGGCCCTTGGAAGCGGAACTTGCTTTACTCTGAGCAGCAGACAGTCTCGTTGTGATGCTCTGCCTTCTTGTAATTAGTGGCGAGAACAGTAGTCACATAACTCTGAAGTTGTATTAATTTTAACTCTTAATAGGAAACTAATAGACAAAACAGACCACAGTGGAGCCTAAGCTAAAAGTCTCTTCTTTTCTCTGCCTCTTCTAAGTTATGCTTTCAGTTTGCTTAGCTTAAAATTTCATGTTTGCCCTCTGGTGTCTGTTCTAAGCCCATGGTTTCTAGTGGAATCATAGGACTGGGGAAGCTGGAGAGCTCATTTAGACGAGCACCCTTACCCTGCTTTGTGAGCAACTGAGCTTAAACTCTGTTTGCAAAGGAAGTTACCTCTTGTCAGAAGACTATCTTGGACCTTGGCAGAATTGCTGGCTTAGAATAATCCTGTCCAAAAAAGTATAAAAAGCTTAGATTAAACAGCAGTTTAGAGGCATTGGAAAGCAATGCAGCCAACACTTGAAGGACTGTGATTTCTGACAGAGAGGAAATACATGTATTCTGTAGCTGAGGCACATTCTCATTCAAGGTTTCATGAGTATGCAGTCCTGGCACAAAGCAGCAGTCCCACAGAACTTAGAGTTTAGATTTAGGAGCTACCAAGGTATCTGGGATTTGAAGGACAGAATCCTGGGAGAAGGGAAACCACAGAGAAGTAAGCCAAAAACGGACATACAGTCTCCCCTTGAGATGTCTGCAAGCACCTAAGGTACCCAGCACGGGAGCAAGGCTCCAGGACCCTGCAGAGGGAAGCCCCAGGCTAGACATGCTTTGCACATGTTCCAGTACCCACATAAGGGCTGGTGGGGAGATAGAGGTGGTGTTTGAAGCCTGTTGAGATTGGCGGGGAGGGCTTAGGACATACCCCCAGATTTTATTTGATGAGCACAAGGGCCACACTTTAAAAGAAAGGGAAACTGAGGGAAAAAAAAAAAAAAGAAAACATAAAACCAGCCATTAGCGGAATGAATGTAGTCTGACCGCATTCTCTATGCCAAAGGAGAACACTTATACTTTGTTAGGAAGGGGGTCTGAGCCTTTTTTTTTTTTT